TTACATGTTGTGCATCAGAGAGCTGGACAATGATTAAGGATGACAGAAGAAGAATCGTTGCCTTCAAATTGTGATGCTGGAGAAGAGTCTTGAACATACCATGGACTACCAAGGAGAGAAATAGGTCTGTCTTGAAGAGAATGAAACCAAGTTTCTTTTTGCAGCCTAGGATTTTTGAAGCTCCATCTCACATACTTTGGGAACGTGGCCAAGAGAGAACGGTCCTTGGAGAAAGACATCATGCTCAGAAGGGTGGAGGGACAGTGCAGGAGAGGAAGATCCCGGATGAGATGGACTGAAGCAGTAACTAAGACAGTAGGGGTAGGTGTGTTAGAGTCAGTGGAACTGGCTTAGAACAGGGCAGGCTTTAGAGATGCTGTACATAGGGTTGCTATGGGTCACAGGTGACTAAACGGCACACGACAACAACAACACGTCATACCGGAGAAGAGTGCCCATCTTTCTGCTGCAAAGCAGCTGGTACATTCCAGCAGCCTGCCTTTGGGTTGGCAGCTCAGCTCGTTACCCACTAGGCCACCACAGCTCTTTATGGCTGCCACAGTAGACTCAAGCCCAACAAGGATGCTCTGTTGCCATGAACTAGAACCGATTAGAGGGCACCTAAGAGCAAACATGCTGTGTGAACAGAGCCAAAGAGCACTGCATGGTTTAAAATCAAGAAATGTGTGCATCAAGACTATATCCTTTCTCCATATGTAATGAATCGGTATGCTGAGCAAATTATTCAAGAAGCTGGACTTCTGAAGAAGCATGTGACATCAGGATCTGCAGAAGACTTTTCAGCAATCTATGCCATGCCAACCTTGCTTGCCAAAAGTGAGGAAGATTTGAAGAACTTGCTGCAGAAGATCAAAGCCTTCCATATGGATTACATTTCAACATAAAAAAAACCCCTCAGACATACTCACCACTGGACCTATAGGCTACGCCCTGAGAGATGGAGAAAAGACTGAAGCTGTCAACTACTTAATCTTATCTGGTTTCACAGTCAAACCCTTGGTATCAGCAGTCAGGAGATAAGCAGACATATTACACCAGGCAAGTCCACCATCAAGGACTTTCCCAAAATACTGACCAGTTAGTTTGAGGACTAAAGTGTATCAGATTCAGGCCGTTCACCTGCTATGCATCTGAGAGCAGTACCATGAATAAAGATGACAGAAGAAGAACTGATATCTTTGAATTATGTTGCTGGAGAAATGTGTATCCTATGGACTGACAAAAACCCAAACAAGTATGTCTTAGAGAAAGAACAGGCAGAGTGTTCCTTGGAGGCAAAGATTGTAAGGTGTTGTTGTCTCATATACGTCAGGCATGTTGTTCGGACAGGCTATTCCTTGAAGAAGGAATGATGATGCTTGGAAAGGTAGAGGGTTGGTGAAGAGAGAAGGATCTTCAACCAGACAATTGGACATTGTGACTGCAGGGAAGGGCTTGAGGATGTTAGCGATTGTGAGAATGGCACAGCATAGCACAGGGTTCAAATCTATTGTTCATAGGGATGGCACCTAACAACAACAACAGCAGGAAACAGCAAGCTCCACCTCAATTCCGGGTTGACCGTCAGCTTTCTGGTTACTGAGTGCTGGTTTACACTCTCCCTGTTGTGTAAAGCTAAACGCATGCAATTCTCGAAATACTCTTCTTTTTTTATTAAAATAGCATTCAGTTTATTACAAATGTTTAGTATTGGCTTCCCATATTTCCCCCCTTTTGTTTTCATCATAATTATATTATCATCTAGATGAGCATCTAAATACTCTTATTAATTTGCCTAAGTTCTACCTGCACAACTTGGCACAACTTGGTGAGCACATCCAGGGCAGCATCTGTTAACTGAAATATGTCAATTGGTCTACCATCTATTCCTGGAGCCTTATTTTTTGCCATGTCCTTCAAAGCACCCTGAACGTCTTCTTTCATCACCATAGGCTCTTGCTCATATGTTGTTTCATGGAATTCTTCTGTGTCTTCCAATTCCTTTTGATACAGTGACTCAGTATATTC